ACTACCACGTTATACCGCAGATGAGAATCAGAAAATGTTTTTATTGCCAAATGTAGGACAAGGACTTGAGTAGGAATGAGCCTTGACCTTATTGTGCAATTACAGTATACAATGCATTAGTAATAGTAAACAATATAACTATGATAATAAAGGTATGCATAATAGAGATACTCCTATACATGAGGGACGAAATACCAAGATTTTACAGCATTCCGTCCTGCACTGTGCTGAACCTCTTGTTACTGTGATGCTGTCTGGTTTGGGCCCACATTTTAAGATCCATTTGTGGCAGTATTTTATTGTCTTATAACGATTCACGTCAAGTATTCCATCGTTTAGCTTCAAGGCTGAGTTTTTGATCTTTTGGTTGATGGAATTGTGCTTCTGAATGCAAAACTGAAATTGAAAAGCACCCAATACTACCATCCACAATACCAACACAGCGAGAAAATAACTTTGTCCATTTTGTCCATGCCTGTTGCAATTTTCTTTTATTATGTCTCTAGTGGGTTTGATGTTCATCCTTCAATTCTATCCTTGCAACTTTGTTTGAGTTAAACTATTGTCGCTGAAGCCAGAAATACACGACTTTTCTGCATCTGACAGACTCAAGTGATGATGTTCTGAACTTGTGCAAATCTGTCAGTGACAAGACAAAGGGAAAAGAAAGTATCTTGCAAAGAAAGCCACTACAGTATTTTACACCCACAGCGCCAAAACCCAAAGTCTTTCTATTCTATGTTTTATTGTCGATCATACCAAGTTGTTTTTGCTCGAAAGCTTGTCATTCTTCTTCCCCCAAAATCTTTCTCTCACTCTTGTCTGGTGCCATTTAGATTTCTCTCGGGCCTCCAAGGATGTTTGATAGTTTCCACAATGGATATGAAAGATTAATGTAGGACAGGCACCTGCAGCAGTTCCTCAATGACAACTGTGAAAGAGCTGCTCTGAGAGACAGCCAACATCTCACTGTTTTACTATTACTACTGTTTCCCCTGACAACCATCACAATACACTAGCTGTTGTTAGATGCTCGGCTCACTTCTTTGGCCTTCAAAAAACTACGTGTTCTTCTGCAAAGTTACAGTAGCGTCTGTCTAAAAAAGGGAGAAATATCTGTGTGTTTGTGTCCAATGGTTGATTGGGTGTAGTCACGGCAACGTCACAACGGTTAAAACAATACTTTATTTAGTAGTAAACAATAAAGTGGAACTATTCCAAAGACATCACTGAAGGACAGGCAATGCAGTAAATACATAACAACTTCTAAAGCATTCATAACACAAATTTAAATGAATAAATACCCAATACACATTTTTATAGAACATTTCAACACCCAGTTTCCAAAGTGCCGCACAATTAAAGACTAAAATATTCTTGAACATGAGACAGAGTAAAAATATCTAGTTTGTGCTGGAGAAGCACTAATATACTGTACATTAGGGGTGGGAACCTAAGGGTACCTCACGATACGATACGATACAAAGTTCACGATAACGATAATATCACGATATAACAATTATCGATATATTGGTCAGAAATATACCGTATGCCAATTTATGGCATAAATAAAAGAAAAATGTTAAGTGAAAAAATACACTTTATTTCATGATAAATGGAATGGAGATGCGTAATGTAGCCATATATTAAGGATTGATACTAATTTTAAAAAAATCGATATCGATACTTGGCAAATGCATATCAATAATTGAATCGCGGGAGAAAATATCGCGATATATCATCACACCCCTACTGTACATAATGGTATTGATATTAACCCGTATTAGGGTTAAATACACATTTATTCTGTGGTTACATGGAGGACACATGACTCTTAAAACAACACAATTGGGCCCATGTTTCTAACCTGGATAACACTAGACTAAATATCACAGATTAATATGTAGTCTGGAAACCCTCTGTTCATTTTCTTGTAGGAGACGTGTGGTTTAGAATCACCCATAATGTTTATTGGGCACTACAGATGTCTATTATACATTCAATTATATCAATTCAACCCGAGAACGTCAGCAAAAAGTTAAACGTGATGGAAAATGGTGTCTGCTACTGTCATTTTGGATTTGTAAACAAACTATTAGCGTCATTGTCGTGCTGTCCTTCCCATTCTTTTATATGCCACCAAATCAATGCAAATTTTGGCCCGCCTTTTCTGGTTGTTGTGCAGTTTGAAATGATTTGCACGCACACAGCTGCATGGGTATTCCCAGGCTAACGATTTTATTTCTAGTCCCGTCGCTGGTATGAATTAGTTGGATTGATGCTTTCCTGATTTTTTCGCTAATAGGGGTTGCATGACAATTTGGTCAAATTCAACTAACAAATAAGTTTAGGTTTGATAAAAAAATACTTGTTTTGTCTTTGAGTCGTCTTGTGACACCAAATTTACATTTGGGTCGTAATAAATTTTGGGCACAAAAAGAAAAACACAAAATAAAGGAAGCATTGTCCCGTTCTTGTAGCAAATCAGCAGCAGCTTTAGAAATATTAATCTTTTATTTTTCATTACAAAATAGAAAATAAAAAAGAAATAGAAAATAGTCAACTAATAAATCTTTAGTTTGATCAGGAATGTGTTCTATATACGTTTTCGTTTTCTATATACGATTTCAATAAAGCGTCTGCAGACACACAACAAGATTTAATAAACTTAAAATTTTGTCAAGAATCCCTATGTTGCTCCTGGACTTGATTTTTAAGTTTTATAGTTTTGCACACACACACTCAGACACACACATAAACATTCACCTACACACATACACACACCATAAACTTAATTTTTTTTGTCAAGAAACCCTCTCTCCCTCCTGGATTTTAAGTTTTACAGTTGTTCTTGCCATTTGCCTCTTGATATAAAGTTTCAGATAACTTATTTTGTACATTCACTGCTACCCCTGTCACCGTTAAAACATTCAATTGTATATTTAGCCGGAGCTGACAAACAAAGTGGACGCCTTGTCTTACCCAAAGTGAACCTACACACGGCCGCGCTTTCACTGCAGCGCCTTCCTGCTGCGAGTGATTTTTCTCCTTCAATCACTCCATTATTCAACATGTGTGCGCCGTCTACGCGCCAAGATCACTGCCACTCCCCGCGCTCTCCTTTTCAACTACTTCTTTTCTTGTGTGTTGTAAGCCATTTGTGTTCGTGTGTAGGAATGAAAGAGCCCAGAGACGCAGGGAGAGAGGACAGGTGGGTGTGCGAGGCAGCGGTGCAGGCATTAACAAACGTATCCAAAGTAAAAAGGCGCAGGAGGAGCGCGGATTCCAGACAATATTAAGATACGATTGTGCGTGGGTGAAAGATTGTAAACCGGGTATCAGTCAGACGCCAGGATAATAACAGGTAAACATCACAGAAAAGGGAACGACAAACAAAGCTGTGAACAGTTCAAATTTTTCAAATGATTTCTGGAGGATGCATTCGCTGGTGAAATCCTGGTTGCGGCGTGTCCTCAGCCGGAGCCAACTTTTCTAGCGCTGTTGCCGCGTCTGCACTGCTACTGTATTGGAGACGTATGAAAAGTAGCACGCGGGTTATAATGAAGGAGCTGTCAGGGAAAGGCGCCTCCGCTGCCAAACAACTGCTCAAACCACGCGGATCAATTAAAGAGAGAGGCGTTTCATATCAAGCGCATAACATTGACCCGGTTCAAGATGATAAGTGTTACGCTAGGGTTGCAACAGTGGCTTTGACAGTGAAAACACAGGCCAGATTTGGGTCTTTGTAAAGTTTGACATCCGATTTGAAGAGGTTTTTGAAACTACAGGACTGTTTTGAAGGAATGTCACTATAGTCATTTATTTATTTATTTGTCCGTGTCATCATATTGTATACATTTTGTTTATTGCCTGTACATTTGTGTAGCATGAAGAAACATAAGAGAATATGAGAAAATATGAGAATATGAATATGAGGAGAATAAGCATCAGCAATAATAATAATATCAACAGGTAAAGTGACTGGTGAATGGTAGTAATACTAATAACAGGTAAAGTGACTAGTGACAAAGTTACTAGTGAATTGTCAGTGGAAGGAAAGACCTATGGAACCTCTCCTTCACACAGCGAGGATGAATTAGTCTGTCACTGAAGCTGCTCTCCAGAGCAGAGAGAGTGTCCTGCAGGGGGTGACAGTCATGGTCCAGCATAGATGTTAGTTTGCTCAGGACCCTCCTGTCCCCCACCTGCTGCACTGTGTCCAGGGAACAGCCCAGGACTGAGCCGGACTTCCTAATGACCTTGTCCAGCTTCTTCCCGTCCCTCTTTGTGATGCTGCTGCTCCAGCAGACCACACCGTACAAGATGGCTGATGTCATCACAGAGTCATAGAAGGTCTTCAGGAGTGGCCCCTGCACTCCAGGAGACCTGAGCCTCCTCAGCAGGAAGAGCCGGCTCTGGCTCTTCTTGAAGAGGGCGTCTGTGTTATGAGTCCTTCTAGTTTGTGGTTCAGATGAACACCCAGGTACTTGTAAGTCCACTCTCTCAATGTCCTTTCCCTGGATGTTCACTGGAGCTGGAGCGGCAGAGTGACGTCTGCGGAAATCCTCCACCATCTCCTTGATCTTCCCCGCGTTGATGAGGAGGTGGTTCCGCTGACACCAGTCCACAAAGTCCTGTATAACTCCTCTGTACTCCGCGTCATCGTCCTCGGAGCTGATTAAGCCTCAAAATACAAACAATATCCGTATTATAAGCAGCTTTTTACCATCTACAAAACATCAGGACTAAACATGGAGGGTTTCAGATTCATGTAGCTAAAATCTGAAAAAGTCGTTCTGAAAATGTGAGGCAAGCTTCTCCTCTAACAATGTTCTTTGTATGTGTCTCTATCTCTGTATCTCTTTTTTTAAAGCTATTTGTGAGCCATTATGTTTAAGGCTGCTCATGTGGAGACTATGTGAACCATGTGAGGTCAAAGATGTAATCTGTCATGAAACATCTATGTTGACCTTTGTCTGTTGTTAATTTGTTGTTTTTAGAACCATGTGGAACCAGGGAGACCAACCAACCCACGTTTCTGCAAGAATGGAGACCACGGCCCCAATAGGAAGCCCTAGTATCTCTGTGTCCCAGCAGCAGGTGCCCAAGAAGTTTGCCCCGGTGGTCGCCCCGAAACCCAAGTTCAACCCTTACAAACCGCCGGCCGAAGCAGGTAACCTCATGAACCGTGATGTCACTCTTAGAAAAGACAAGAAGTATCCAGGAGACATCTGCATATACAGTAGTTCCAGGCTATTTCACAATATCTAAACTTTATTTCCCTGTGGTACCAAGAAAAAAATATTATTATTTGAAGATTACCTCTGTCTTTAATCTGACTTTGTATGGAAGTATTCTTTATTTTGATTGTGAATTACTTACATGCTTTGATATATAGACCCGCGAATATAAAATACCTGTGTATAAACATACACAGGTTTAGGGCAGAAACAATTCATATGAGCCCTAAAAGCAAGATAAAATGTAAAATGCTGAGAAAATAAACTAAAATCTGTTCACTTAAAGTTGCAATATGTAAGATCTGCATTGTCAAGTCATCATTAAATGGCCCTAATATGTCAAAAGGCATTAACAGATCATGGTCTTTTCCAAAACTTTTTAACTGCTAACTGTAGTTATATTGAGACAAATTTCAACATGTGATTTTTGACCGACAGTGGCTCAGTTGGTAGAGCATTGGCCTTTGAGCCTGAAGGTCGTGGGTTCAAGCCCACCGTAAGACCTGCTTCACGACTCCCACTGATGACTGCTGTCGTTGTGTCCTTAGGCAAGACACTTAACCCCACTTTGCCTGAAGCTCCCACTGAAAGATCTCAGCTCCTGTGGACTCACCACCTGCAGAAGGATCAGTGAGGGGCTGGTGCTCTGTGGACTGGGTGGCATCTCTGGCCACCCCCCCAACCCAGAAATGGATTAAGGGGAAGAAAATGGATGGATGGATGGATTTTTGACCGGACAATGTTGTTATTGCTTTCATTTCGATGTTCCGCCCTCCACCGTTTTACCAGTCACAGTCAGAAAGTCCGTGATCCGGGTTGCCAGAATTTACAGTGTCTTGTTAATCTGACTGGTAAAGTAACATGTCACGCTAAAACTGTCTTGTTATGATTCTCAAATCATTAATAACAAAACAAGAAATAACATGAAGATTTCTATGCCTTTGAAGGGATGCCTTTGATAAATGGAGACAAGTGAAGGTGGATAAGAACTTTTTGTCCGCCATTGAAATAAGACATTGACGTTTTCTTATTACTTGTAATAAATGGAAATGGACATTGGACTTATATATAAATTATATTGTCCAATACAGTCTATCCTGTCTAACAAAGTAAGTTCGCGCAACAAAAATGCTATGATTTTACGCCCATTAGCCTGTATGTTAATGCGTAATAGAACTAAAAGGGCAAAATATTTTTTTGACTGTGTGAATGGAGACAGACAAACAACTCCATGAAATAATTCCTCATTTGTGTTTGCATATTGTGGACTCTGCTATGTACCAAGTTACATGGTAGTGAAGTGATGGGCAATAGCGATGCTCCGAAGCATCGCTTCGAAGTTCCTGAAGCTTCAAAGCACTGTTGGAGTGTGTATCAAAACAAGCCGTTGAAGCGTGTCAGCGTCTCGGAGTCAGAAAGATCCATGCTTGGACTCTGCAGCCACTGCTCCGATACTGGTTTTGACATATTTACTATCTATGGTTTTGAGCGTTTCGACACGCCTCCTTGGTTTTACAGCTTTTAGTGGCTACAGTATTATAGACTGTAGTGGATAGCCGCTAACTTAATACAGTATTAAAGATGCGTCAATATTTGTTCACAATGTTGGCTAATGATGAGACAGAGTGTTGTATAGTGTTGGTGAATTCGGTGACTTAAATGGCATCTGCAAGTGGAAAACAGAGAGGCATGGTTTAGGTGTTCAGCTATTATGGTCCTAGCTGGATTCGGCTACGTATCTGGCAACTTAAGGCAGGGAGAGTGAGAGAGGACTACAACATTTTGACCGTGATTGCGTTACCACTTTAAGCCAGATTTTCACATATTACTCCTTGTAATGAGACTTTTTACTTTGTAAAAAAATGTTTTAGAATGTGAAGCAATATCTTATTTCATATGTAAAATCTTATCCAATCCACTGTATTTATATAGCACATTTTATAAAACAAGTGACAAATTCAAAAATACAGGTTAGCCAACAAAAGAATAATTATAAAAAATAGAATAAATATTTAGCATTTGTGTTTTGTATGCTATCAGTGGGCAGTTGTGCATCCATAATGGTGTTTTAGAATTTAAATCAGCCTTCATTCGGTGGATTAGACTTGTAGAATATATAATGTAATACTATTACACTTCCATTAAGCTTATTATGGAGTAAAGTTTTTGGACGCACTGCTGTTATGAAACATGCTTTATCCATGCTTGTCATCTCTCCTTAGTGATCTCTATACAGTTCCCTGTAAGGCTCGAACGTACAAAAAACTATTCATTAGTTCTTTATTGTTACATAAGCTCATTCTGCTATAACTCAATGAATGAGAATAAAGTTATTATTAGACATGTGCACAATGACAACATGTGCAGCGCTCAGACCCTCAGACTGTTGTTCTGTTTTGTTGTTGGTCTTTCCCTTTCTTTAATATATCAAATATCCGGTAATGAGGATTTACCGCATACCACTACAGTATTATTTGCCAGAAGTGGATTCTGTCTTATCTTTAGATGACGTTCATATAAAGAACATTATCTACCCCTGTAGCTTCAGTCCTCTGAGACCAGCCTCGGATCTCCATGTAAAATACAGGTTTGTTTTAGCCCTGTAACAAGCAGATATACAATTTTCCACTTTGAACATCTCTAAACAGATTTCAGAATGAATTTGGTGTGTGTGGGAATGGTTAATGGTGGTGGGAGGGTTTGATGCCACAGACTGGTTGCCTCTGCAGTCAGTAGATGGCCATTAGATGGTCAAACACTTTTCCCAGTGTTTGACCATCTATTGTTGTTGTACCTTGTCATTTACTCACTCAAAGCTATTATAGTAATCCATGCATGTTTGAGTAATCAGTATAATTCTTACAAAGCTATAATATTGTTTCTCAAATGACTACTACTCCCACTGTTTTTACAGTGCCTTGCGAAAGTATTCGGCCCCCTTGAACCTTTCAACATTTCGCCACATTTCAGGCTTCAAACATAAAGATATAAAATTAAAATTTTTTGTCATGAATCAACAACAAGTGGGACACAATCGTGAAGTGGAACGAAATTTATTGGATAATTTAAACGTTTTTAACAAATAAAAAACTGAAAAGTGGGGCGTGCAATATTATTCGGCCCCTTTACTTTCAGTGCAGCAAACTCACTCCAGAAGTTCAGTGAGGATCTTTGAATGATCCAATGTTGTCCTAAATGACTGATGATGATAAATAGAATGCACCTGTGTGTAATCAAGTCTCCGTATAAATGCACCTGCTCTTTGATAATCTCAGGGTTCTGTTTAAAGCGCAGAGAGAACCATGAAGACAAAGAAACACACCAGGCAGGTCTGAGATACTGTTGTGGAGAAGTTTAAAGCCGGATTTGGATACAAAAAGATTTCCCAAGCTTTAAACATCTCAAGGAGCACTGTGCAAGCAATTATATTGAAATGGAAAGAGTATCAGACCACTGCAAATCTACCAAGACCCGGCCGTCCCTCCAAACTTTCATCTCAAACAAGGAGTAGACTGATCAGAGATGCAGCCAAGAGGCCCATGATCACTCTGTATGAACTGCAGATAACTACAGCTGAGGTGGGAGAGTCTGTCCATAGGACAACAATCAGTCGTGCACTGCACAAATCTGGCCTTTATGGAAGAGTGGCAAGAAGAAAGCCATTTCTCAAAGATATCCATAAAAAGTCTGGTTTAAAGTTTGCCACAAGCCACCTGGGAGACACACCGAACATGTGGAAGAAGGTGCTCTGGTCAGATGAAACCAAAATCGAACTTTTTGGCCACAATGCAAAACGATATGTTTGGCGTAAAAGCAACACAGCTCGTCACCCTGAACACACCATCCCCACTGTCAAACATGGTGGTGGCAGCATCATGCTTTGGGCCTGCTTTTCTTCAGCAGGGACAGGGAAGATGGCTAAAATTGATGGGAAGATGGATGGAGCCAAATACAGGACCATTCTGGAAGAAAACCTGTTGGAGTCTGCAAAAGACCTGAGACTGGGACGGAGATTTATCTTCCAACAGGACAATGATCCAAAACATAAAGCCAAATCTACAATGGAATGGTTCACAAATAGACGTATCCAGGTGTTAGAATGGCCAAGTCAAAGTCCAGACCTGAATCCAATCGAGAATCTGTGGAAAGAGCTGAAGACTGCTGTTCACAAACGCTCTCCATCCAACCTCACTGAGCTCGAGCTGTTTTGCAAGGAAGGATGGGCAAGAATTTCAGTCTCTCGATGTGCAAAACTGATAGAGACATACCCCAAGCAACTTGCAGCTGTAATTGCAGCAAAAGGTGGCGCTACAAAGTATTAGCGTAAGGGGGCCGAATAATATTGCACGCCCCACTTTTCAGTTTTTTATTTGTTAAAAAAGTTTAAATTATCCAATAAATTTCGTTCCACTTCACGATTGTGTCCCACTTGTTGTTGATTCTTGACAAAAAAAAATAATTTTTATATCTTTATGTTTGAAGCCTGAAATGTGGCGAAATGTTGAAAAGTTCAAGGGGGCCGAATACTTTCGCAAGGCACTGTATTTACTTCATTCACAAATGTTCTTTTCTGGATGTGTGATCAACCAGCTGCAGGAAAGAAACATTTGATTTGTGATCTAGACAGAGCCTGCCTTAGATCTGTCCTTGTTTCGAAACGGCAAAACCACATAACATTGTTTTAGATTAATATTGAGATTTTAGTTGATATATAATAATGTTATAGGTTATATGTGTATAGCTGGCAGAAGGTCATTTGTAACCACCTTGTATGAAGTGAAAGAATAATGACATGTGAACAGTCTTTGAGTATCCAAAAAAGCGCCATATAAAACCTA